TGGAAATGGCTGGAAACCACCCTGGAAGTGGCCAAAACCCCTATAAAACCAGGCTGGTCAACCAGCTAAAACCAGCCAACCAGCAACCAGCCAACCATCCTTGGCTGTTTTAAGCTGGATTTTTCAGCAGGGAAGACAAGGGTCTTGGTCCTGGAGGGCCGGTGTCCTGAAGAGTTTAGCTCCAACCCTAATCACCACACCTGAACCAGCTAATTAAGCTCTTACTAGGTATACTAGAAACTTCCTGGCAGGTGTGTTGAAGCAATTCAGAGCTAAACTATGTTGGACACTGGCCCTCAAGGGACCGACTTTGGACACCCTGGCCCAAGACCTACATCTAGGCCTGGTCCAGTACTGTTCATTTTCAATTCAGTTTCACTTTATTTAAAGGTGGTATTCCTGCTCCCATTTACTTTGGTGCTCTTATTGACTCGACCTGTCTAAAATGGGGGCTGAAGAAATCGTGTGGAAGAGGTGCCTGCAGAATCTATGACATTGAGACATTCAGGTGAGCACATCTGACTTCAACTATTATATTTCCCCTTTTTAATTCTATAAATTTTAATGTATAGAAACTCTAACTAATACTAAACTATTATTGGTCCCCATAAGGTTCCTCTTTCAGGGGCTGACCATGTGTCTTCGAGTATTAGCCAGTTCCCTGCTCTGGATAGCCACCATAAAAATAAAGAGAGAATTTCGGAACGATAAACAAATGTCCAAAGACATAAAACTGCAACAGCCTATGCTGTAAAATCCAGACCACCAGGAGGGTAAATGAATGTTCTGTGGTGTTTAATTTTTTTTTAATTGCATGTGTTATGCATGTGTGCATTGTTTAATTATGTATTATAATTATTATATGCATTATTAGAAATGTTATTGCTGCAGTTTTTAAAAATATAATTAGGTAAAAAAAAAATCTATTGGTTTAATTTATTTTCATAATTTGTGTGTGACTATTAATAGAAGTAATTTATATTTATTCATGACATTTAATGGTAACACTTTAGAATAACAATACGTTATAACTACTTTAAAGATCAGTAATTAGTTAATGAGTTACAAATGACTTGTTAAATAAAAGTTAATAGTTTGTACATTATTTATTACTGTGCCTTATAGATAGCCAATTGTCATGACTGTGTTTGTCCACCAGATGCCACTGTAGTTCGCCAGCAACCCCCAGCGGACTACAGTGGCTTTAGAACTACATTTCCATACATTTTTTCGCATACACACCTGGTCTGTCATCTACACTGATTTACTACCACAGCTGTCTCCGTTCTCTGTGATTACCTGGACTATATATTCAGTCATTCATCCTCTGTTTGTCAGTTGGTCGTTGTCCTTGTTGGTATGTTGTTCCTGATCTTGATCTTACTCTTGCTCTTGTATCTTGTCTTAGTGTTAAAGTCTAGTTCGAGTTTAATCTGTTTGAGTTGCTCGTTTGTTTGTTTATTTTGTTAATTTGCTACTTTGATTTTTGGATTTTGTCACTGTTGCTGCACTTTCACATTAAAGATCTGCACTTGGATTCTACACCCGTTTTTGTTCCTGTTCTTGATCACCATAACGTGACAGCCAATAGGTAACTTGCATGCTGTTAGTTAACAAGGTATAAATGGTTTGTTAACTGTATTTCAATGATTTATAACTATAACTAATACATTATTAATAGGTCATGAACAAGCTGTTGGTAAATTATTTACTAAAGACTTGTTAAGTATCAGTTAATAGTTTATATATGTTATTGGGACGTTATTCTAAAGTTGCAAGTATTTTTCATTTATTAACTCTTAGTAAATCACCTTAGTAAATCACTCTTAGATACTCATCCCGAGGTCCTCAGATTATGCGGAGTCACTGATTGGATCCAAGACCAGCGACGTGATG